TCTCAAATATATATATATAAGTTTAGTTTTTCTTACCTTCAAATCAGCTGCTCCTCAGAGAGACAAACAAAGATTAGACCACACGCTTCCTTTCTCAGAAAATCCCAGCGTTGTTCCCAGTCGTCCTCGGCGATTTCCGATGTGACATCACCTATCAAGCTTGTCGGGAAAATTGTCGGGAAAATAGGACAATTGCACGATGACGTCATTTTACTACAACTACCAAAATGTTTGATCAATATCGATATCTTAAACAACCGAAGTAGATGTGTGACTGGGATGGGTTCTAGCGTTGCTCTTTATGCTGCTTTAAAGTATTGTTTGGTAGCCACTACCGCGCTGGCTCCACTGTTAGCAGTTCCTGAGGTAAATGTAACCCCAAATTACAGAAGGATACCACTAGTTGTAATCAAATGTCGCCATCGCCCAAATGCACCGTATTTTTAACGTTCAGCATAAGGAGGAAACAAAAAATCTGGTTTGGTGCTGGCTGCAGTGCCAATGGTCTGTGAAACATCTTACGAGCATCTCCTACAATGCTGGTAAAATCACGGTCCAATGTTTTCTTTCTGTTGAAGAATTTACGCCCCAACCTCTCCCCCTCTCGGATGTCTTTGTTCGCTCTGAGATTTGAAGTTTTCTGTGATCTGGCGGCAATATAGTTCCCAGTCTTTTAACGGCCACTTCCTTACGACGGACTCAAAGAGGACCAAAGAGGGGGTCCCCGCTTTAACCTCGTTCCCAGGGTGTTTTCCTGAGAAAATGGGAGGGGCGGGAAATGCTTTGCTTCAGTACCTTTCTTTGACTTTCTATATAGGTAGTCACTTCTCTATAACAGACACAAAAGGTGTCCAGGATACACGGAGTTGACTGCAGTTCTTCAGTCGAACCCCCAGGGTATCTTCAGGTTTGACACATTTCCCCGCTCATTATCATATCAGTAGTTGTGCAGAATCAGTATATAGCTTTACTATATGCCAGATGCTTCCTTTCATTCAATGATTACCCCTACCCTTAACACTTCTAAAAACCCCCCTTTTCAGATGATAGAAAATTAAGTTGAATTTAGAATCGGTATATCTTCAATAATTGAATATCATTTTGGTGTATAAACGTCGAGGTTTCTTTTCGGAGAATGAAATGCCACACGGGAGTACTTTCAAGTTTCTATAATGGCCTACACAGGAAGACTCCGCCCGAAAAGGGTATCTTTTTCAGGCTTCAGGTCAGTATGAAAGAAAAGGGATCAGTCACCAGCTGAAGTTTATGAAAGGGTAGCGGGACATCTGTCAGCTTCGGTCAGGAGCACATAACCCGGACCGAGCAACTTCCATGAGCTCGTGTCTGACGACGTTTTCATGGACCAGCTTATTTTTAGAAGGGTTTTGGCGCAAATTTTTTATATCTTTTAAATTCCACAAACTAGTCAGAAAAACCTACAGACCTAAAAATGATATTTTTTTGCATTTTAATAACGTTTAGTTTTCCTTTGTGATATCTTATACTTCGAATGCGCTCAGAGACATGGTGGAGATTCTGTGTTCGCGGGAAAAAGTGCCCTAAAATGTGTCTAAAAATAAACTGGTCCGTAAAAACGCCGTGACGTAGGCCTAGTATGGGAGTTGCTCGCTCCGGGTTATGGGCTCCTGTTTCGGTCTGTTAAAAGGACCAAAAGTGCTGAGCATGCTCAGAGATGTATTTTATGGGTGTGAAAAATTCCAGAACACGTTCTGGTTTTCTTATTTATTCATATTTAAAGACAGTGTATTTACAACAATTATTTTCCCTTTGCTCGGTTTTCTGTTCTTTTTAGGGGAATATGTTACATAATCCCACACGGTATTATTCACTGTCTGAAACGTTGGTGGCGGCTTTGATTGTAATAGTGGCGGGGTGTGGGGTTGAAACAATTGGTAGCTGATAACAATAACAAAACAATGGACTATATTTTATCATTCCCTGCTCATATTCCCCAGCTCAACATGTTTAACCATCCTACTAAAACTACACAAGTCAGAATTTTTCGATTTAGTGTACTTACCACATTTTCTTGGACTTCACTAAATCTTCGGCGGCTGTTGTCATAGCGCAAACTAGATATTCGCATGACTTACCGCGTCACTTTTAAACGAATTTGACATTACATCTCCAATGTGTACCTGCGAACGTCCTTGTTTGACTCGTTGGACAACTGACACAAAACTCTGTCGCGGTGAGAGGTCCGAAAGAGTTTCCAGAACTACTCTGCCTTAACGTTAAGAATAGTACTCCTCTGAGTTACTCATCTCTTTCTGGTAAACCGACTGTTTGACCACTCCACACGAATTGACAAATTTCCATATTTTAGAATTCAACCTGAAACAATGCGACTCTCTTGGGAATAACCATTTCTAAAGAATTAATTAAGGTAATTCCTTTGAAAATGATGTACTATTCAGATTTTTTATGTCCTCACCCCCATACCCTGAACCCCGCCCTTTCAAGACTTCCACAACTCGGGCTTAAAAGGAACAAAATGGTGGCAGCCCCCCCTGACTGTCTTAAGGTGATGTTACACAGGACGATTCGCAAGAACGATTTTTAGCGAAACATAGCGTTGCAATGTTGGAACAATGTTGGAACTATTCGAAACAATGTCGCAACAATGTTGCAACGCTGTGTTGCGCTAAAATCGTCTCGTGTAACATCACCTTTAGAAAACCAAAACTGTATATCAGTTGCCAACACGAAGAACTAAGTTGTGAAGGGAGGGGTGACTGAGAGGGCCACACAGTAAGAACTAAGTTGTGAAGGGAGGGGTGACTGGGAGGGCCACACAGTAAGAACTAAGTTGTGAAGGGAGGGGTGACTGGGAGGGCCACACAGTAAGAACTAAGTTGTGAAGGGAGGGGTGACTGGGAGGGCCACACAGTAAGAACTAAGTTGTGAAGGGAGGGGTGACTGAGAGGGCCACACAGTAAGAACTAAGTTGTGAAGGGAGGGGTGACTGAGAGGGCCACACAGTAAGAACTAGGTTGTGAAGGGAGGGGTGACTGGGAGGGCCACACAGTAAGAACTAAGTTGTGAAGGGAGGGGTGACTGAGAGGGCCACACAGTAAGAACTTAGTTGTGAAGGGAGGGGTGACTGAGAGGGCCACACACTAAGAACTAAGTTGTGAAGGGAGGGGTGACTGAGAGGGCCACACACTAAGAACTAAGTTGTGAAGGGAGGGGTGACTGGGAGGGCCACACAGTAAGAACTAAGTTGTGAAGGGAGAGGTGACTGAGAGGGCCACACAGTAAAAAATTACCCGAGATCGAGACACTTTGAGGAGCTAATTAAGCTCCACTGACAGCTAAATAAGAAAGCTAACTAGCCAAGCTAACTAAACGTTTCTAACTAAGCGTTTCTTTACTGAAATCCAAGATCAGATCAAAAATCCGGGTCATTGGGATTTTTCGTTAGGAAAAGAAACGTTGTATCCAAATGTGAAAACATGTTTTTCACTTAAACACCAGTGTGGAGACATGTTTTTCCCTTCACAAAAGACTCAAAGAGGGGGGTCCCTGCTTTAACCTCGTTCCCAGGGCGTTTCCCTGAGAAAATGGGAGGGGTGGGGACTGCTTTACTTCAGTACCTTTACCTTTATTTGACTCTCTCTGTGTGTAGTCACTTCGATTGGGAGATTGCTGGGAAAAATTTATGTGTTCCTCACTCCCAGCAAGACTGATGGAAGAGTTCCAAGCCAGCAAGGTGTACCTACAACATGCAACCGGACTTACTGGGAAGTTTCCCAGCAGAGGTATCTCCAGCCACTTCTGGCCGGTTTGGGTGAGGCCACGGGACAAAATTCAGACCTTCAGTGGGGGGTAGAGGGGGGCATAGAAACATGGGTGTGGCCAAAAGGCGAATTTATCCCTTCAGGGGGTGGGGAAGTTTCTGGCAAAAAACTCATGCCAGATATTCTACACATCAAATCCCAACAGACACCCACAGTTATATTTTTCCAAGCAACACTTTCCATCTTTGGACATATCACTTGTTCCAAACTCCCATCCAGCAACAAATTGGCCTGAAGAACATATATTTTTTTAGAAACAGATCTATTGGGTGCCCCTGATGCATGTTATGGCTGTAAAAAATTCTGGAGCACATGCTGGTTTTTTTATTTATTCATATTTTAAACACAGCGTATTAACAGCAATTATTTTTCCTTTTCTAGGTTATTTTCGTTCTTTTTAAGGGAATCATTTGTTAAATAATCCCTCACAGTATTATTCACTGTCTGAAACGTTGGTGGGGGCTTTGATTGTAATAGAGGCGGGGTGCGGGAGTTGAAACAATTAGTAGCTGATAACAATAACAGAACAATGCAATATATTTTTCCATTCCCCTGCTCATGTTCCCCTCAACATGTTTAACCATCCCTCTAAAACTACACAAGTCAAAATTTTTCGATTTAATGTACTTACCACATTTTCTTGGACTTCACTTTCGTCGTCGGCTGTTGTCATAGCGTAAACTAGATATTCGCATCACCGGCCGCGTCACTTTTAAACGAATTTGACATTACATCTCCAATTTTTACCTGCGAACGTCCTTGTTTGCAACGTGACTCGCTGGACGACGGACACAAAACTCTGTCGAAGTGGGAGGTACGAAAGAGTTTCCAAAACTACTGTGCCTTAACGTTAAGAATAGTATTCCTTTGAGTTACTCATCTCTCTCTGGCAAAACGACTGTTTGACCACTCCACACGAATGGACCAATTTCCGTATTTTAGAATTCAACCTCAAACAATTCGAGTCTCTTGGGAATAAGCATTTCTAAAGAATTTATTAAGGTAATTCCCTTGAAAATGATGTACTCTCCAGATTTTTTTATGTCCTCACCCCCTCCCCCAATCCCCGCTCTTTCAAGACTTCTACAACTAGGGCTTAAAAGGAACAAATTGGTGGCAACGCCGTTGATTGTCTTAGAAAACCAAAACTGTACATCGGTTGCCGACACGACGAACTAGGTTGTGAAGGGAGGGGTGACTGGGAGCGCCACACAGTAAGAACTAAGTTGTGAAGGGAGGTAAAAAATTACCAGACATCAAGACATTTTGAGGAGCTGACAGCTAAATAAGAAAGCTAACTAGCCGAGCTAACTAAACTGGAGAAACTCAGAGTGCGTTTCTTTATTAAAATCTAACTCTGATAAAAAATCTGGATCATTAGAATTTTTCGTTAGGAAAAGAAACGATGTATCGAAATGTGAAAACAGGTTTTTCAACAGGTTTTTCCCTTCACAAAAGGATAAACGGAAGACGGGGAAAACTCTACAATGCTCTCTGGGGAAGGCCTTTTCCTGGGGACACTCGCGGGATGCGAGAAGGCACGGAATCCCTGACGCCTGTTGAGTACCCTTGCGACAACAATTGTACACAGAACTTGGCTCCAATGTAGAGGTTTAATCCAAGACGTAACCAGGATGTAACCGAAGAAATTCATACAAAGCACTTGTATTTAAGCCTAAGCTAATGATGCGATACAGATTACATCATAACTCAACAAGTCAAAATAACCGAATACAAAAATTATTTCTGAAAGACTATTGGTGGAAATGACAGCTTGTAGTGAAACATTAATTACTTCCAAAAGTTTACACAAGTAGATAACTGTTCCTCACAGGTTGATTACAGCTTGGAGGCTACTACAATCATGACTCGACAAATAAGTTTACGCTCAATAAATATCAAGAGGTTGTTTACAGTTCAGAGAAGCTAGGACTAAAGAATAAAGAATTTCTACATTGGCTTTTCATATTTTTATCAGCGAAAACAATATAACTTAATAACAATAAATTCTCTTTTCACATTCCTCCACCTTAAGTTTCAGCTGTCCTCAGCTGAGTGGAGAAAAGAAATGAAGTTAAAACGATAATTATCTTAAAGAGAAAAAACAAAAGCGCAGCGAATAAAACTGGAACCTTGTATTTTGCGTGTAGTTTTGAATTTTTTTTTAAGATTTGTTTTTCTGGTTTTTGAAATTTTGTATTTGATTTTGTGCCTGAACCGCGGCATAAACCGAACAAGCCTGAATATAGTGGCCTCTGGGGTCCAATTAACAAAGCAATAAGCAAATAAAATAGAGTACACTAACTGGAATTTGTAGCGTTTGTGCAAAGGACACTTCGTGAGGTCAATTCATGTGCATTCTTTTTTTCTTTTTTTGCAAACTTGCGTAGAGCCATCCGTTCACGCGGTGTAACAACAGGGTTGAAGACGCCGTGAGATAGCACAGTTAATACCAGATGTTGCTTTGAATGCGTATGACTAATTTAGTATAGAACCTTACCCTGTTGCTGGGGTTGTTTCATTTGCCCAACAAGGTCTCCCAGGTTCTTACACTGTCCTAAGAAACCAAATCGTTTGTCTCCGAGTTCCTCGCTGTGTAACGATTGTCGACACGAAGATCTAAGTTGTAAAGGGGAGGGGTGACTGAGTTGGCCAAACAGTAAGAAATTACCAGAGGTTGAGACGTTCTGAGAAGCTAAGCTCCACTGGTAAAAGCAAAGCTAACCAGCCGAGCTAAAAAACTGGAGAAACTGAATTAAGTAGTCGTATTTATACGCAGTTAAACAAATGAATAGTTCGACAGTAAAAAGGGGTACAGTAAACGGCAAAGTTACGACCAACTTGCAGATAAAAGGTGCCAACAATAGAAATAAGAAAACTTGATATTGAAACAAACCACACGCGAACAAGCCTATGAAATAGCAGTCCTACGCATAACTAAAAGCGAGTAAATGTAAAACTACAAAATTAGTGATTTAACCCAGTAACTGAATAAGCAATTTGACTACAAAATTAGAATTGAGACTTTTGTAGACAGTAAGAGTAAACTGATCAGCCAAAAGAATAAAAACTACAACTGTGTAACTATAATAAAAGCATCAAAAACTATATCATGTTGTCAATAGACACGTCTAAAATGACTCTGTAAAATATGGTATAATAATGAAAATAAGAATTGACTACTGATTCCTGATGTCCTTCTCAGGTGACTACTGAACAAGTTACTACCGCACAAGGTGTGCACACGACTAGTCTTCTAAAACAATCTTCGAAAAGTACACTTGATTTTCTCTTCGGGATAAGGAGTTCCTATGCGATGAACGCTCCACTTTGTATTTGTTACACAAAACAACTGAGTTCAACTTCAGATAGGAACCGCTTCACTGCATTCGCTTCGTACCTATACAACAAAAACAGCAAAAAGAAACGTTAGCAAGCTAGTGAAAGGAAAGGATAGTGATTTCAGCCGGCGAGGTACAATATTCTAAATCTGTTAGAGCAAAGGATAATATTTAAACTGGTAACTTCATTCTACAAAGAGCCTTATTGTAGATTATTGATACTTTCATACCGTAAATCCTCTATGAAGCCCCCCTATCCAGTAAGCCCCTCCCGCCCAATTTCAGGGAAGAAAATTCTTTCCTTTTGAGCCCCCTTCCCCCTATCCTTACATAATAGACGAATGGTAGATGTAACAATTAATCACGATTGTAACACCTCACTTGGACTGATCCCGTATGGTTTATTCACGTCCTGGAAGTTCAAATTTGTTTTTCATCTTCGGCTGTGCGACCTCCAATTTCATATGCTTCAGTTTTTCTACTTTGGTTTCGGTCTCTATTCGGAATAGAGAATCGATAGTCATAGCAAGGGTGGCGCAGTGGTGAGAGCCCTCGCCTTCCACCAGTGTGGCGCGGGTTTAACTCCCGGCGTCGATGCCATATGTGGGTTGAGTTTGTTTTTGGTTCTCTCCTTTGCTCCGAGAGGTTTTTCTCCGGGTACTCCAGTTTCCCCCTCTCCTCAAAAACCAACATTTCCAAATTCCAATTCGACCAGGAATCAGGTAGACGAAGAACCACTATGTGGATGTGCCACCTGCAAATCGTTATTCATTTATTTATTTACCACAATCTTCGCTTAATTAAATAACCCCCTCTCTATTCACCCCCTCTCCTTAAACATGCTTGAAAGAAATAAGTCCCCCCCCCGCGGGGGGACTTAATAGAGGATTTACGATAGCTTCTTATATGTATCTTTCAGTCGGTGAGAATGACCTCTGTTGAATCTCATGACCGACCAACCATAAAAAATACCAAAATCATTTTCCCACCCAAAGCACCATACCTGAAACCACTCTTAAGCGACCACCGTCCATTAGCGACCAGCAAATATTGGCATTTTAGGTGGTCCCTTAAGGCAGGTTCTACTTTATAAATGTTACAATGGAACGAACTCAAACAGGGCCCTCGACACTTTGTAATGTGCAGAAATGTTCTCGTGTTTGACTGCCTAAAAAATATTAAAGTCAGAGTCCATTTTAACTGCTGACAGGACCTGTGATTGGCAGCTTGATGTTAAGCCGCGCCAGTTGAGTTTGTTGCCCTATAAAATATTTGTTTAAGCACGTAATATGATCCCAGGTTTAAATACATCCCAAAATACCTTGCTATTTATTTGATGCCCTCAAACTCGAGCGTTACGTCGTCACCAATGAGAACAAACGGTGCCCAGTACTTCACTGCACTAAACCGGTCAGATTCTCTCATGGATTTCATGGCTTTATTTAGAGCCTCACTGGCACTTCTTCCATTGACTAGTTGTCGGTAGAAAAATTCCATGAACTCCATCGTAGCCTCGTCGTCAATCGCCCACAGGGACACCAGAACAGAACGAGCACCAGCACCCAAAAAAGCCCGTGCGATGCCGACCACACCCTCAGATTTGACTTCTCCCCGAGCACTATGACAACAACTAAGTACAACAAGTCTTGCTCTTATCTGCGCATCTAAAACATCTTTCATAGTTAAGAGATAGTCCTCGGCTAGATCCACGGATGAACGCGTTGTGTTTGGGGCCAAGGCAATTTCTCCTGTTTCCATTTCACCGTGAGCAGCAATATGCACCAAAGCAACAGAGGAGATACGTCTCAAAACTTCATCTTTTGTTGCCTGCTTTCCAACGAGAGGTACAGTGTGAAGAATTTTCCCAATCATCTGCACTTCTTTTTCGGCCCACGCCAACTGCTCTAGCGTCGTTACCTCCTGTACCCACGGATCGCCGACGAGAAGAGCGCCAGTCTTGCTGTGCCAATCTGCTGGACAGTCTTGGATTAATCGAAGACTAGAAAGCGAGGGGAGCAGACGAATTCTGAAAGTTTCGCAGAGGTACTTTGATTTCATGTCCATAAAAGCAGCATAGGGCGCCAAACACAGAGGTCCTTGTGGAACAATCACAATTTCATCGCCGTCGAGTAAGTCTCTTATAGGGTCTATAACAACATCGTACAATGTTTGTAATGACTTTGACTCAAAATATGAAGGGTGAGACCTTGGCTTCCTGGGGGATCTTTCTTCCGGTAGCTTTTTATCGCTTGGGTTTCTTAATGAGCGATCTTCACAATTAACATCAGCTCTTGCACCTATTTCTTTATGTGTAGCCTCCAATAGAGACTGAAAATAGGTTGTGACGGACCTATCAATCTCAGTTCTTCTAGTTTTGATTTCATTTCCTTTCTCGTTCACCCAGAGAACTATTCCTCCCTCACTGATACCCATGAAAACTGTATTTGCTGGTAAGTAAATAGTAAAGTCACTTGGTCTTGCAGAAGGTGTTCCTATTTCTGGGCGTAGCCCTTTAAGGCCATACTTGGACTCCAGAAGATCATTTAAAGCTCTTGCACGTCCTTGATCAGCAGTTAAAAGTGCCTCAATGACTTTACCTTCCTTAAACTGCAGCTCCCACAGCCTCAAATTAACATGATCATACGTACTTTTAAGGGTAATCTTCCATTCGTCGTTAGATATGAGATTTCTCCTAATGTGGTCGAAGGCTACAACACTGTTCTCATAACACTGAACGGCTTTCTGGAAATCTCCAAGACTGCGATAGGCGTTGCCAAGATTACTGTACGCTTTTCCTTCTCCTGCCCTGTCTCCCACTTCTTTCGAAATTTTGAGGTCTCGTTCATGGTACTCTATGGCTTTCTGGAAATCTCCAAGAGTTCCAAACGCGACGCCAAGATTACAATACGCTCTTCCTTCTCCTACCATGTCTCCCACTTCTTTCGAAATTTTGAGGTCTCGTTCATGGTACTCCATGGCTTTCTGGAAATCTCCAAGACGAAAATAGGCGTTGCCAAGATTACAGTACGCTATTCCTTCTCCTGCCCTGTCTCCCGCTTCTTTCGAAATTTTGAGGTGTCGTTCATGGTACTCTATGGCTTTCTGGAAATCTCCAAGACTGTGATAGGCGTTGCCAAGATTACCGTACGCTCCTCCCTCTCCTGCCCTGTCTCCCACTTCTTTTGAAATTTTGAAGCGTCGTTCATGGTACTCTATGGCTTTCTGTAAATCTCCAAGACTGTCATAGGCGTTGCCAAGGTTACAGTACGCGCCTCCTTCTCCTGCCCTGTCTCCCACTTCTTTCGAAATTTTGAGTTGTCGTTTATGGTACTCTATGGCTTTCTGGAAATCTCCAAGACGAAAATAGGCGTTGCCAAGATTACCATACGCTTTTCCTTCTACTGCCCTGTCTCCCACTTCTTTCGAAATTTTGAGGTGTCGTTCATGGTACTCTATGGCTTTCTGGAAATCTCCAAGACAAAAATAGGCGTTGCCAAGATTACCATACGCTCTTCCTTCTCCTGCCCTGTCTCCCACTTCTTTCGAAATTTTGAGGTGTCGTTCATGGTACTCTATGGCTTTCCGGAAATCTCCCAGACTGTAATAGGCGATGCCTAGGGCGTGCTGGAAATCTTTAAAGTTGACAAAGGGTTCGCCGATATTACCATTAATAGCTGTGGTTGTCATTTTTTTTTTTTGCTTGCTTTGCTATTTCAGCTTAGCCACATATTGTGGTTTCTTTTTGCTGCTGATAGCATCAGTCTCTTTATGTACGATAACGAAGCCGAGGATCTGAAAAGTAAAATTAAAAGCTGGAGTAAAAGCTTATTTATTAGCTCTTTTACTACTCGTTTTTGTATATCACAGTCGCATTTGATTTGGCTCAAAAAGGGATCCTTCTACGTGTTTTTCGTTGTATATTATGACTTGATGGACTGGGGTCTTCTCTAATAATGATCGAAATTTAAAAAAAACAAACAAACAAACAAAGAAACAGTTTTACCATTGTTAAAACATGGTGTATATATATATGATATTAGTATATACTAAAACAGTGGATAGTGTTTTTCGGGCGCTCTGATTGGCTACTCAATCAGTGAATATCCTGCACTATTCACTGATTCACCTCCAGTTCCTCAGAGCGAGTGACGTCAAACTCGCGTAGGTTGCGAGCAAAATGCTTTCCCGGTTTGCTGCCGTAACAAACTAAGAAATTTCACAACTAATCAAGCAAGCTATTTCCGAAATACATTTTTAAATACAAACAGAATTCACAACTCCTTTTGAAGAAACTTCCCCGCAAGAGCCAAACAAACGCCTTCAAAGTTTTACTTGTCGCTAAGAAAAAGCGACGACCGCGGCCGTTCGGTCATCGCGCGCCAAAATTGTAATCGTTGGCAACAGTAAATGAGTTAAAAATCATCATTTTGTGCTCAATTATCTCACTGTTTTAGTATAAACTAAAACAATTATTCGCCTCAGTGTCGGTAGCTAGTAGCCTCGATAAATATCCAATACTAGCCACCTCTACTTCGGTGAATAATTGTTATTTATATGGCCGCGCGGAGATAGGAAAATTCTCTTCTCGTGTTGAAAAATATTATGAAGAAGAGAAATTTCGTAACTCCAAGCAACCATGTATTGTTCTATTTATTATATAAACACCAATGAAATACCAAACCATTTTACTTAAATAGTTTTTTGGTCTCAAAGGTGCGGTTTATTATGAAGCCATAGCAACGGTGACATTTACAGATGTGAAGATAACATGTTATTTTCACATGTGAAGATATCAAATTTTCGCGCGAAAGCTCACTTGGTATTTCATTGTACATTCATCTACCTTCATCTGAAAAAATAAATTTGTTGTCAACAAACTACAAACCGGGCCAGCGGAAACATCCGTTCAGAAAACTCAAATTTGGGAAAGTGAACTTATTTCTAAGGGTTAACATCTCTGGGTAGCGGAATACAAGTGTTTAGCAACTGAAAAGAAAACCTCAGTTCTTTACCACCAAAACACTGAGAAAGTTACAGTTATTTTAAGGTGGCTGAACACAGTTTTGGCAGTTTGTGAGTATATGACATCTGGCAAATCATGGCAAGAGAAGGGTTGCAGCTCAAAAGCTGAAACTTGGCAAGTGAAGAATATACTGAAGAAAGGTTTTGATTGACAGGCAAAATTTGTCATTTTCGTAGTTTCCATGGCAACATGAACGATTGAATACAACTTTAAAATTTCACTTTCGCTCAGTTTACATAAAATTCACTCATTAGATTTTCGTATAAACTTGGACACAGCTTACTATAATTAATCATTACCATTTGAAACTTATTTGCCCAAATTTTTAGATAATCAATAATATAATTGTACTGTAATTATCAAATGTGTCACAAAAATCGTCTGTTCAACTTCCATTTTTTAAAGTTCTCATTATTTAAAATACGATAAAAGTAAAAATTATGCCAAATATCACAAAATTTTATATTTTAGTAGAAGGTGCGGTTTATTATGAAGCCATAGCAACGGTGACATTTTTACATGTGAAGATAACATGTTATTTTCACATGTGAGATATCAAGTTTTCGCGCGAAAGCTCACTTGGTATTTCATTGGTGTTTATATAATAAAAATCGTCTATCTACTCATTATACATTCATCTACCTTCCACTGAAAAAATAAATTTGTTGTCAACAAACTACAAACCGGGCAGCGGAAACATTTCAGAAAATTCAAATTTGGGAAAGTGAACTTATTTCTAAGGGTTAACATCTCTGGGTAGCGGAATACAAGTGTTTAGCAACTGAAAAGAAAACCTCAGTTCTTTACCACCAAAACACTGAGAAAGTTACAGTTATTTTAAGGTGGCTGAACACAGTTTTGGCAGTTTGTGAGTATATGACATCTGGCAAATCATGGCAAGAGAAGGGTTGCAGCTCAAAAGCTGAAACTTGGCAAGTGAAGAATATACTGAAGAAAGGTTTTGATTGACAGGCAAAATTTGTCATTTTCGTAGTTTCCATGGCAACATGAACGATTGAATACAACTTTAAAATTTCACTTTCGCTCAGTTTACATAAAATTCACTCATTAGATTTTCGTATAAACTTGGACACAGCTTACTATAATTAATCATTACCATTTGAAACTTATTTGCCCAAATTTTTAGATAATCAATAATATAATTGTACTGTAATTATCAAATGTGTCACAAAAATCGTCTGTTCAACTTCCATTTTTTAAAGTTCTCATTATTTAAAATACGATAAAAGTAAAAATTATGCCAAATATCACAAAATTTTATATTTTAGTAGAAGGTGCGGTTTATTATGAAGCCATAGCAACGGTGACATTTTTACATGTGAAGATAACATGTTATTTTCACATGTGAGATATCAAGTTTTCGCGCGAAAGCTCACTTGGTATTTCATTGGTGTTTATATAATAAAAATCGTCTATCTACTCATTATACATTCATCTACCTTCCACTGAAAAAATAAATTTGTTGTCAACAAACTACAAACCGGGCAGCGGAAACATTTCAGAAAATTCAAATTTGGGAAAGTGAACTTATTTCTAAGGGTTAACATCTCTGGGTAGCGGAATACAAGCGTTTAGCAACTGAAAAGAAAACCTATTTCTTTACCACCAAAACACTGAGAAAGTTACAGGTATTTTAAACTTGTGGGTTTTCAAAAAAACTATAATAATTCCACAACTGGTTCCAGTCCAACTCGGTGTAAAAACTTGAGGAGTTTTCCTTTTCTTCTCTCCTATTTTCTTAAGTAGATCTATAAGTAGGATGAGCATGATCGTCCAAGGGCTGACGTAGTACTAAATAGGACTGTTGCATTGACTTTGACTGACGCGCGGTAATCATCTGCAGAGTCAAAGTGAGTTGTATTACGTCAGTTGATGGTACAGTCGAACCTCCATGTGGGACCACCTCCCATAAGAGACCGCCAATCCAAAACTCATGCAACAAAACTTTCCCCGTCAAAGCCTTACAGTTGGAACCTCTAGTAAACTACCACCTCTTGTAAGCGACCGCGACTACTTTTTGGGCCTGAAAGTTTAATGATTTTCCATTGTTTTTAAGCTCTAGTAAGCGACCAAACTCGACCACTTGACGGATTCTCTGACCCCTAGTTCGCTGTGTGCACTATGCTACTTAGAATATACGACATGTGCGAAGAACTTTAGAAACAACATTGAACTCAGTACACATGGCGTAACTTGCATTGCATACAATAAATTATCTTCCATAAAGTAGATGTGCCCAGGCCTCTTCTCGGAAGAGTCCCCCTGTGGTTAGATTCTTGTAAGCGACCACTTAGTCTTTGCATTTTGGGTGCTCGCTTATGGTAGGTTCGACTGTATTAAACTCTGGTTATTGATCTGATTGGAGAATTAAGTCGCGATGTTATTGGTCGTCTGTCAGTTAAGCAGTGATTTTAATATTGGCTATGAAGACTCGTGATGTCATTGGACAGTTGACTTTCCACCCGCCTATATTGTCACAGTTAAACAGTCGTTTATGTTAGTCAAATTGTCGGTTGTCCAGTCATTCTCTCGTAATTAGTTTTGCTTGAGTCCGTCAATAAAGTCGATTGTACGGTACCGGCAACTGTTGACTACGCTTCAATGACGTTTGTTCTCAGTTAGTAAACCAGCTTTCTAAAGTGGGTCGTTGATAGTAGTCTGAGAATACCTAATACATGTCGCAGAGTCCCAGTCGATTTGATGTTTCGTCTGTAAATGGTGATCAGCAATGTAATTGTTGACGTCACCATTTCTCGTCGCTCGTTTGCGTTCGGTCAGTCGCGTGCTAAGGTTTCTGCCGGTTTCACCAATGTAAGTAGCCTGGCAGTTGCAGCATTTGATCTTTAATACTGCTTCCTGTCTGTCCTCGGGTTTGTCTTTGTCCTTGACATTAGTGTGCAACAGGAGCAAATGGGTAGCCTACGAACAGCAGACGTATTTCCGGGAGAGAAGCGACAGCTAGGAAATCTCGTCACTTGTTTCCATCCGCCAAACTGACATTTTCCTCTCAGTGGCTCTCACAAGACATTTCACTTTTCTTACATGAAATTTCTGTCTCTTGAAATTTCGGTTCATAAAAGTTTAAGTCTCTTCAATTTTTAAGGGAAAAAGAAATTCAAGATGGCACAAGTAGGATTCGATCTCGGAGTATCGGCTCTGCAGTGCATTACTTTAACCCCTACACCACCGAGGATTTGCTGACAACCCTAACCCTAACCCTTACTTTGTGTACGAATCATTAATCTGTCAACGTCAGTTTGGCGGATGGAAATAAGTGTTCGCACTAATTTCTTTTAAGTGATAAAATTTACGTCATTATCTCTATAGCAACGAATTATTAATCTGGCGCATGCTCAACGGAAATTCCAAGCGGTTTGCTGCAGAGGTTTCTCACGGGGTGTAAACAAACTAACCACGCAACAGACAAGCCACGCAAATGACTTCGTAAACGCTAAAAGCCATGCACGAGAGAAATCACTGCTCGCAGGGTAGTAACAGTAAGGTGAAAACATAATCACTGAAATAGAAAATCAGATTACATGTAGCAATGTCATTAAGGATGCAGTTCATGAGAATTATTAAAGTGATCATGACTTATGATTATTGAATATGCGGGCCTTCATTATCAAGCACTGAATCCATGTAAAAAGTACAAATTTTTTATGACTTATGCAAGTGTTTAAAGAAAGAAAATACTCATGCAATAGTGAATTTGTATGTAATGTCCACAACCAAGGTGATCAGTCTCTCCATTAGTCTCTGTAAACGCCAGGAATGTTTTCTGTTACCTTTATAGTATTTTTATGTTTTCCGCGTTTTTAGTTATTATCGTGTTCGCGCCTTTAGTGCTGTTTTTTGGTTCATGAGTTTTTCATTGTCCGCGTAGCTTTGTCCTTCGTGTTAGGGTTTTTCTGCATATCGTATATTTTGCTTTTATTGTAATTTTCGCGTCAGTTCTTCTTTAGTTGCGCTTGGTCCAGTTTACAGTTTAATGTTTGGGTCTTTGCTCGTCCTAGTATTTCGTCCTTATCTCGCTATCGTCTTGTAAGTATCGCGTTTGTTTCATTCGCATTTCTAGTTTGCCTTATTGATTTCGTTCAGTTCGTAGGTTGTTTTATCTTGACTTTGTTTTGTTTAATTATTATTTTTCAGTACCGCTATACTTCACATCGGTTCACTTGTTTCCCTTCACCAGTTGCAATCTCGGACTGTCTTCATCATATTCTTAAAATGTAGCTAAACTTAGTGCGTCAAGTGCTTGATGGCCGCTTAATAGAGTTGACAACTATGGAAAAACTGTAGTTGGAACAGCAGAAAGGTGGCCGCGATCGATTAATAGAGGTGGCCACTCAATAGAGGTTTAACTTCCCATTCTTTTCTACAATTAACAATTACTCTTTGAAATCGAGGTGAATAGTAGCTAAATATTTAAATATGTAAATATTCCCAAAGCCACTATTCACCGAGATTGAAAAGAATAATTGTTTTAGTATATACACACGAAGTGATCTCAACAAAATCAGAGGGGAAACCATTAAAAAGTAAGATTTGATTGACAGATCAAATCACGCGTAAGTTTAAAAATAGATCTGTGCAGAATTTTCAAACATGGCAATTCACAAGTTTATCATTTCGCAAACAGCGTAATGGCTTAAAAGGAACCGCTAAAAGTTTGAACTGTTTCCTTACCTGAGAAGAAAAGTGGAGCTTTGTTGTTTTCTGTTGACTCGCCAAGCTTATAGCCAAAAGGGCTTGTTGTGTCGTTCTTCGCATGAAGTGCTGACAAAAATGGCCGGCTCGGTTACTCGAGGTAAGCCGTCGTCTTCCTGTATCATTCTTTTTCCTGTTTACTTGAAACGTAGAATTTCTGCAAACATTTCCTTTTAAATTTGTTTCTCATAAATAAACTTCGATTTTTGAGCCAAAATTTTCTTGTTAGAAAACGCTGAGTTCACGAAACGGCTTCTTCTACGCGAATACACAGGAGTTGTAAACTACGGTGGCTCATAAGGACAAAACACTTCCCAGATTCCAAAACACTTCCCAGAATCCAAAAACACTTCCCAGAATCCAAAACACTTCCCAGAATCCAAAAACACTTCCCAGAATCCAAAACACTTCCCTGAATCCAAAAACACGTTTCAGAATCCAGACCACTTCCCAGAATCCAAAAACACTTCCCAGAATCCAAAAACAATTCCCAGAATCCAAGCGACTTCCGAGAATCCTAAAACACGTCCCAGAATCCAAAAACACGTCCCAGAATCCAAAACACATCCCAGAATCTAAAACACTTCCTAGAATCCAAAAGTGCTTCCCAAAAAAAACAGTTCCCAGAATGCACTTACAATCAAAGGAGGCCTGGTTGTCAAGTCAAGCTGCCTGACACGGATCATTATGAGATTACCAGTTATAGTAATATTATTATTATTGATTCAAAATGTGGTTGATATTGTGGGATTACCAGATTGTATTTGCACGGCAACTTTCAATACAGTCGATGAATGCGTAGCTGCGTATTGGAGGCAGGGGCATCGATATACAGCCATATTGATGTTTCTTTCCGCTTATCATGGCATTCACTGGACTCTAAGACAATTTAAATAATTTATAAACCAGAAGCTAGGATTGCGAAGAAAAGGCAATCAATCACCACTTGCCAACATACGCCAACCAATTGCTTTGGAGCTGAATGGTCCAGGTAAACTCCTTGGTTATCGAACTATGACGAGACGGCTACGGCGGAAATATAATCTTTTGGTTGGAAGACATACTGTTAGATCACTCTTAAAGAATATTGATCCACATGGCGTTAATCAAAGAAGACAAAGACGATTTGAACGAAGGCAGTACAGATGCCCAGGTCCAAACGCAGTTTGGCACATTGACAGATATGATAAGCTAGCTCTTTCTGGATTTTGCATAAGTGGCTGGATCGATGGGTATTCCAGAAGGATTATGTTTCTACAGGTTGCTTCTATTAATCATGATCCTTGGATTCTGGGACGTGTTTTTGGACTCTGGGAGGTGTTTCGGATTCTGGGTCGTGTTTTTGGATTCTGAGAAGTGTTTCGGATTCTGGGAAGTGTTTTTGGATTCTGGGAAGTGTTTCGGATTCTGGGACGTGTTTTTGGATTCTGGGAAGTGTTTCGGATTCTGGGACGTGTTTTTGAATTCTGGGAAGTGTTTTGGATTCTGGGAAGTGTTTTTGGATTCTGGGAAGTGTTTTGGATTTTGGGAAGTGTTTCGGATTCTGGGACGTGTTTTTGGATTCTGGGAAGTGTTTCGGAGTCTGGGACATGTTTTTGGATTCTGGGACGTGTTTTGGATTCTGGGACGTGTTTTTGGATTCTGGGAAGTGTTTCAGATTCTGGGACGTGTTTTGGATTCTGGGAAGTCTTTTGGATTCTGGGAAGTGTTTTTGGATTCTGGGACGTGTTTTGGATTCTGGGACGTGTTTTTGGATTCTGGGACGTGTTTTTGGATTCTGGGACGTGTTTTTGGATTCTGGGAAGTGTTTCGGATTCTGGGACGTGTTTTTGGATTCTGGGAAGTGTTTCGGATTCTGGGACGTGTTTTTGAATTCTGGGAAGTGTTTTGGATTCTGGGAAGTGTTTTTGGATTCTGGGAAGTGTTTTGGATTTTGGGAAGTGTTTTGGATTTTGGGAAGTGTTTCGGATTCTGGGACATGTTTTTGGATTCTGGGACGTGTTTTGGATTCTGGGACGTGTTTTTGGATTCTGGGAAGTGTTTCAGATTCTGGGACGTGTTTTTGGATTCTGGGAAGTGTTTTGGATTCTGGGAAGTGTTTTTGGATTCTGGGACGTGTTTTGGATTCTGGGACGTGTTTTTGGATTCTGGGACGTGTTTTTGGATTCTGGGACGTGTTTTGGATTCTGGGAAGTGTTTTTGGATTCTGGGAAGTGTTTCGGATTCTGGGACGTGTTTTTGGATTCTGGGAAGTGTTTCGGATTCTGGGACGTGTTTTTGAATTCTGGGAAGTGTTTTGGATTCTGGGAAGTGTTTTTGGATTCTGGGAAGTGTTTTGGATTTTGGGAAGTGTTTGGGATTCTGGGACGTGTTTTTGAATTCTGGGAAGTGTTTTGGATTCTGGGAAGTGTTTTTGGATTCTGGGAAGTGTTTTGGATTTTGGGAAGTGTTTCGGATTCTGGGACGTGTTTTTGGATTCTGGGAAGTGTTTCGGAGTCTGGGACATGTTTTTGGATTCTGGGACGTGTTTTGGATTCTGGGACGTGTTTCAGATTCTGGGACGTGTTTTTGGATTCTGGGAAGTGTTTTTGGATTCTGGGACGTGTTTTGGATTCTGGGACGTGTTTTTGGATTCTGGGACGTGTTTTTGGATTCTGGGACGTGTTTTGGATTCTGGGACGTGTTTTTGGATTCTGGGACGTGTTTTGGATTCTGGGACGTGTTTTTGGAATCTGGGAAGTGTTTTGTCCCTACGAGCCACCGTAGTAAACAATCCATCGAGCACAAAACTCAGCTACAGTAAATTGAAAAACGCCGTATTGAATCCTTCCAAGTCTTTTCTTGCTTTAAAAAAAGTCAGCCCTAGGATTTTGTCGACTTTTAAAAGATCGTTCTCAAAAAAAAATGGGAAAAACACCGAGCTCACACATTATCCTCTCGCTAGGAGGTGAATATTGTTGAATAGTCCGAAATAGCGAACCAATCAGATTGCTTAAATCACCAAGATCAGTGAGTGTGTATATACTAATTATTTGTAGTCTGTAAATGACATCACAACAAGCTTTATTGATTTAGTGACATGATATCTCTCGCCTTAAGCTTTTCTGATTCGCTAGTTTCATTTCCTTAGACAGCGCCTATTTTTACGTAGAAAACGCATGGTCTCTTAAGTTTAGTTTTAGTTGGATTTCGTCGTCTTCATGTGTACATCATTGTAGTCTATTTGGATAGTTCATTTCTTGGTACTTAGAGGCAAGCGGGAACCGATATGTAAGTACATTTTATCCTCTGTAGTTTTGTCTATCTGGCGACTCATAAAGTATATTCCTGCAAGAAATTGTTGCAATACTTAGTATCTCGTACCATTACGTGACTACGCCTTTTTGAGTTTCAAGTAGGTTTTCACTTTTTAGTTCGGCGTGGGAATCTCATTTCTTTTAGTTTATTTAGTTTTCGCGCGTTGACAAACGTAGTCCGTTCTGAGATATATTTTGTTAGTTTCTTAGCATCGTATTATTCGCAGGAAGCAACCATTATTGTTTTTGGGAAGGTTTCTTTACTCCTGCGTACCCAAATTTAGTTGATTTTATTCCTTTCATGAAGTATATTTAGTCTAATATTCCAGTTGGTAAATTTATTATTCCTGTATTTCAATAAGTATATTTCTTTTGTCTTCTTACGCGTTTTTGGCAAGGTTTTTATACCAGAACAGCTACGAAAATGAAAATATGATTGGAATGTTAGTAAAATGTTATATTATCTGTTAGCCAAACTATAATAATTGTAATTGTACTTTAGCTTTTAGTAATTATTTGTTACGTTGCATTATATTTCAGTTTACGGTTCGATTATCGTCAAGAAAACACCATCAAGGACTAGCTCCTAGTTTCGTGATCGTAGTTGATTCATGATCGACCAGTAAAATATACCCGCTCACACGGAGTTTCGCCGCCACAAATAGTTTTAGCCGCGTGACAATTGGCTTCTCCTACAGTCGCAGCGTATCGTCCGCTAGCACAAGGGGGTAGGGGTGGGGGAAGAAGAAAATAGACGGACGTTCTTTGCTTTTCTTTCTCGCGCTCCGCACTTGCCGATGTTTTGGAAAAGAACGAAAAGAAAAATAAAACAACGTCTGTGTACAGGCTTAACAGAGGTGGCCGCTCAATAGAGGTTTAAGTTCCCATTCTTTTCTAAAATTATTTCAGGACTTTGATTATTGGCCGCTTAACGGATGTTCAACTGTATACAGAGTAGGATGATAACCATGAATGCACGAGTAATTTGCGAGTCAGGCGTGAGAAATTGTCAGCTGAATTGTCCTTGATGCGCGAGATTGGTGTCGTTAGCCCGCAGGCGTGAAAGTTGGCAGGTATAAAACCAAATAATGTATAATGCAAAGGTAAAGGTACCGTGGCTCATAAGGACAAAACACTTCCCAGAATCCAAAAACACTTGCCAGAATCCAAACGTGTTTTGGATTCTGGGAATTATTTTGTTATTATTTCTGTTTTGGACTCTGCGAAATGTTTCGGATTCTGGGACGTGTTTCGGATTCTGGGAGGTGTTTTGTCCCTACGAGACGTCAGCCTATGCAATGCGTACCTCAGTTATAAATTCCCAAATATTCTTGATACTTCGCTTGATTTGTCACGACCAAAGGATCTACGAGCAAATCATATTTTGTAAGACAGGTTTAAGTATAAAAGACAATTGCATTTTCCTTCACAAATAACAGGAACTTGTACAAAACTTACATAAAGCAACAATCAACCCCTCTAACAAGAAATTGTTGAACCTATGGGATTTTCCCTTCCTTTATAATTAAGCTTTCTGTTTCACTTTGATCAACTGAATAACGTCAACAAAAGTGACGTAAGTGCTTCCAGAAACAGCTCCCAAAATGCAGCCATCCAGGAAAATTTGAAAACTAATGAAGCATATGAGGGGTCACATTAAATCTAACATACAGTTATTAATATTTCTCTGAACAAAATAACAAAAACCTCACAAAAAGATCTTATAACAGATGCTGTAGACTGATAGAATCTTCCAATGAGAAAGTTGGTCTGAGACTTCCCGTTTTTCTCCGAACCCCTGCCGGATATGATTCGTGATGATTGAGTGACCTTTTAACGAGGCTCAGTCATTTTGTGTGTGATTTGAAGTACAATGAAACTTCAATTGACGTCGCAGATGTGCTGTCATGCGCCCTACCCCTGGAACTTGCTTGACAACCGGACTGATGACAAATTTCAGTCGTAATTTTACGAACGATAGTTTTAACTCAAACTCCTCCCAATTTTCTATATAGACTATAATTTTATCAAGATATTATGATTTCCGCATTACATAAGATTAAGGCAGTTTGTTTCAATCCTCTACTAATCTCATGGTATCAAATTACCCACCCCTCCCTTTTCCCCCTTCCTTCCAATCCTTATCCCTTTTGATGTCTGCTACGCAGGCTAGACAAATTCTCGCTTTCCGTGCTCATCAGTAAGTAAACAGCTCGGGATTTTTCTCCCCCCTAGGTGGGAACTCGTTGATGGTTTTGTTTAGTCAATATCGATATCCTAAACAACTGGAAAAGAGGATGTGTGACGGGGATGGGTCCTAGCGTTATGCATTAAAACTTTATGCGGCTTTAAAGTTTGTTTGGTAGCCAGTACCGCGCGCTGGCTCCACTGTAAGCAGTTCCTCGGATAAGGGTAACCCCAAATAACTGAAAGATTCCACTAGCTGTAATCAAATGTGGCCATCGCCCAAATGCACCGTATTTTTAATGTTCAGCGTTAGGAGGGAGCAAAAAAAATCTGGTTTTGTGCTTGCTGCAGTCAACCTAAGACTCAGGAAAATCAGGGTTCCATGTTTTCTTTCTGTTAAAGAATTATTTAATTCTCACCCCCTTCAGTCTGGGATGTTTTTGTTCTTCCAGGGATTTGCTGCTCACTCACTCGGTACATCTTTAACAAGTGAATGTTATTTATAGTAGAAAAGTGAAAGTTTCGAAAAACCGCCGGTAGGGTACTCCCTATAATGGCGTATACGGGGAGGCCGTCACCTTCTTAATCTCGGACAGTTTTCCTTCATCATATTCTTTAAAAAAAGCCATCCTTAGTCGGTTAAGAGCTTGATTTTTTAAGGCTGCTTAATAGATGCGACAAAAATGGGAAAACTCTCGTTGGAACTGTTGGAACTGCAAAAAGGTGGAAGCGATCGCTTAATAGAGATGCCCGCTCAATAGAGGTTTAATTTCCCATTCTTTTCTACAATTATTTCGGGGCATTGATTACTGGCCGCTTAATGGAGGATGGCCGCTTAATAGGTGGCCACTTAATGGAGTTTTAACTGTATACAGAGTGGGATGATAACCATATATACATAATAAATCAGTGAAAGTTATTAACATTTCTCTGAACAAAATAAGAAACAGCTCACAAACAGGTCATAACAAATTCTGTAGTCTTCCTGTTTTTCTCGGAACATTGTCAGATATGCTTGATCGTGATGAGTGACCTTCTAACAAGGCCCACACTTTGTGTGTGATTTGAAGTAAATTGGAATTTCAATTGACGTCTCAGATGTGCTGTCATATGTCCTACCCCTGGGACTTGCTTGACAACCGGACTGGTGACAAATTTCAGACGTAATATTACAAAAAGTAGTTTTCCCTCAAACTCCTTCCAATTTATAATTTTATTAAGATATTATGATTTCCACATTCCATGAGATTGAGGCAGTTTGCCGGTTTTATTCCTTTATTAATCCCATGGTATCAAATTACCCACCCCTCCATCCCCTTCTCCTTCCAATACCTTACCCCCTTTGACTCCTGCTACGCAGCCTACACAAATTGCCGGTTTCCGTGTTCATCAGTTAGTAAAAAGCTCGGGGTTTTTCTCTCCCCGGGGTGGGAACTCATTCGTGATTCTGTTTGATCAATATCGATATCTTAAACAACCGGAGAAGATATTTGACGG